AAAATCGAGGCCCAGAAAGTGTAGAATGTCCTCAAGATACTGCAGTTAGTTGGTGGCGAACAGGAATATGCGGCTGGGTGTCCCCGCTTCCTGGTGACATACGGATGGGGGGGGGTCGTTTAGTAAACTAGACACGTGTCCACCTACAGGCAGCCGGTCAGCGCCAGCGGACAGTTGGAAAGGAATGTGGGCCAATCGTTGCCAGATCTGCTGTTTTTTTTTTAATTTTTTTTTTTAAGGAAGACCAGGGTTTTAACATAAAATCCCAATTATTACACATAGGCAACTGACTGAAGTCTTTTTTTCTTTTTTTGAACGCTTCGAGGTCAAGCTTCACCAGTTTCAGTCCTGACAACACCCCACATTTCGTTAAACAAACAACCAACCCCCCCAAAATTCCATACAGTCATGGGGGACGTGGTCAGGGTGATGAGGTGGACGGAGAGGAGCGGGGTAGGGGGTCCGTGCGGCAGTCTAGAAAGCTCTGTGGGGGCGGGTGGACGTGGCATAAAGGGTTGCGGTCGGCTGCCCGGTGCCCAGACAGGGTCACGCAGTAAGATGATGGGCCTCGGGTGTTGCTGAGGGCGGAGAGAGTCACGTACATTTTCCAGGACTCGGCCCCGCAGAAAATGCCGCCAGGGTTATTGGCTTGTTTGTGGGAGAGCGTCATCCTCACACACAAATACAGCTGAACCTTGAGCAACACGGTTTTGACCTGTGTGACATACACCTACGGGGGATTCCCCCCCAATAAATGCAGCCGGTCCATTGTGTCCATGGGATTCCCATCCACGGCTTCTCCCCCGTCCATATGGAATCTGTGGGTGCAAAGGGCCAACTACAGAGCTAAACGTTGTATGTGGATCTGTGACTTTACAGGGGTCAGCACCCCTAAGCCCCGTGTTGTTAAAGGGTCAACTATAGCCCTGGCCGGTTTGGCTCATTGGATAGCGCGTTGGCCTGCGGACTGAAGGGTCCCGGGTTCGATTCTGGTCAAAGGCTCATGCCTGGGTTGAGGGCTCGAGCCCCAATAGGGGGTGTGCAGGAGGCAGCCGATCCCCGATTCTCATCATGGATATTTCTCTCTCTCTCTCCCTTCTCTGAAACCAATGGGAAGATATTTGCTAAAAAGGTTATGTCTGCGTGACTCTTAACACTAAGTTTCTGGCAAAGAAAGCCGCCGAAGAAAGAGGCGAGGTAGTGGCTGGAACCTCCGCCCTCATGCATGAGCCCAGAAACCCCACAGCACAGAGAGGACGGCCCGTGCTCCAAGGAGACACAGGCCACCTGTGGGCATCGCCAGGGGTGGGCAAACTTTTTGACTCGAGGGCCACAATGGGTTCTTAAACTGGACCGGAGGGCTGGAACAAAAGCATGGATGGAGTGTTTGTGTGAACTAATATAAATTCAAAGTAAACATCATTACATAAAAGGGTACGGTCTTTTTTTTTTTTTTTTTTTTTTTTTTTTAGTTTTATTCATTTCAAACGGGCCGTAGTTTGCCCACGGCTGGCATAGACCCATCCTGGCGAAGGTGTTTGGAAAATCGAGTTCCCCAGCGTGGCCCTTGGCCGTAGGGCTTCTCAGGACCCTTCATAGGCCACGACCAGGGCACATCTTCTGGTTGCGGAATCTCTGTTCCTTTTTTCTCCCCGGGGTCTCTGGGGAAAGGATGTGGTAGAGACAGTTCTCTGAAGGGTTGCGTAAGTGTGCGTGAGGCTTCTCTCCTCACCTCCCCGTATCTAATCTCTTTCTAGGTTTCTCTTAGAATTGTAGTTTTCCCTTTCCAGGAAATGTTTCCTTTCTACTCACACTAAAAAACAAAACAAAACAAACAAACAACAGCCACATGCGGCCACCCAGGGGAGCCTGGGGCCTCACTGCTGCCTGTCCCGGTAGTATGTCCTTGGGTGGCCTGGGGCTCCCTGGGGGCAGGGGGGAGCGGCGGAGGGGAGGGTCTCTCCCTCTGTTCTGGGCTCAGGAGTGACTTTTAGGCTAGGAATTCCCAGCCTGGGGGAGGCATGAGAAGACATGAAGGCCTGGGGGCAAAGGCCTGGGGAGGGGGCAGCATTCTAAAGGAAACACTCCCTTTGCCCGGGGACATGTGCTGGAGGGGGGCAGGGGGAGGGAGAGGAAGGGGAGGAGGAGAGAGGATCTCTGAGTAGTTGGCCAAAGAATGGTTGGCCGAAGGGGCCCCTTTTACGGCCTTCCTGTTTATGGCTGAGAAGTAAACAGCCCAGGAACCAGGTCGTCTCCAGAGCAGCTGGGCCAGGGGGCAGGCTGGCGGGGGGACCCCCTCTTTCTGGGTGGCGGTGGGCGGGGATCTGCCAGTCACGCCAGTCTCAGGGGGCTCCCCCCGAAACAGCATCTTAGGGTCCTTTCCCTTCCCCTCACGCCATCTGCGTCTCCCATATCCATGGTCCTGCTCCTTCCGGGGCAGGTGGGGATGTGCGGGCTCGGGGTTCGGATCCCGGCTGGGCTGCCACACAGACAGCTGTGAGACAGGGGGGCGAGCCCCGTCCTCTCTGGTCGCTGAGCTGTGGTGACACACAGGAGGGAGCTGGGAGGGTGTGGAGGCCGGGGCCGGTGGGGTCAGGCCCACCTCCCAGAGAGGCCCTGCCGGGGCGCAGGCTGCAGCGCTCTCGCCATTAGGAACCGGAGCGCTCTGCAGGCCTGATGGACGAGACGGTGCCCGGAATAAGATGAAGAGCACGGGCCGGGGGCAGCAAACACCAGGAGATCAATAAACTATAATTATCAAGCCGGGTGTCCGCGGGAGGCAGGGAGTGCTGCAGACGGAGAGATGGAGGAGGGGGTGAGAGACGCCAGAGAGAAGAGATGGCAGAGCAAGACACACACACACACACACACACACACAGATGTGGGCACAGTGCACACCCCAGGGAGCAGGGGCTGGAAGTGTGGCGTGCACAGGCCCTCCTGGCCTTGCGGGGGGCGAGGAGTAGGATGGGGGGGGCTGTCCCGTGGGCATCCCTCTCTGGGTGGGAGGTGCTCACCTGTTCTAACAGCACGGACACCCAAGGCTCTAGCCTCGCGAGTTCCCTCATTCAGTTCCCCGGGTCTTCCCCCACATCAACCCCCGCGTTACTAATCTATAATAATGAAAGCATAAGATGCTAATTAGACCAGACAACCGAACAACCTTCTGGATGTCCTTCCGGATGACCTTCCGGACGAAGCCGGGGCTGTGAGGGCCAAGCCCCTTGCCTGAATTCTGTGCATCAGGCTCTGATAAGACTATCAGAGCCCAGAGATCACATCTGCAAGGAATAAGGACTTAACTCTTAGACGCAAAGATGACACTTCCTAATGTCCACTCCCACCATCTAAGCCAGTGATGGTGAACCTTTTGAGCTCGGCGAGTCAGCATTTTGAAAAACCCTAACTTAACTCTGGTGCTGTGTCACATATAGAAATTTTTTGATCTTTGCAACCATAGTAAAACAAAGACTTATATTTTTGATATTTATTTTAGATATTTAAATGCCATTTAACAACGAACAATTAACCAAAAAAATGAGTTCGCGTGTCACCTCTGACACGCGTGTCATAGGTTCGCCGTCACTGATCTAAGCCATGCATGTAGTTAGGCTGAGCCATGAGAACAGTGTAGATTGTACCATGGCCAGGGCTGTGTTTTGTTTTTTAAAATACACTTGTAAACATTTATTGATTTTAGAGAGAAGTGGGGGGGAGAGAGAGAGAGAGAGAGAGAGAGAGAGAGAGAGAGAGAGAGAGTTGCTGTTTATGCATTCATTGGTCATCGGTTGATTCTTGCATGTCCCCTGATTAGGAATGAGGCTGCCACCTGGGCGCATGAGGATGACGCTCCAACCAACTGCGCCTCCGGCCAGGCCAGGCAGGGCGTGTTTCCCAGGCCTCGTCTCCGTCAGCCCGCCTGACCCTGGGGTGCCGGTAGGAATCACTTGCTCCTTCATTGTGCGTGATGCACAGGACAGAGGCATCACCGCCCTGTCGCCGAGCTCGCAGGTGACCAGGGGAGGCGTCAGACTGCACTGGAAGCACAGTCACCCTGCCTTTCCCAGTGCGGAGGCCCCGGTCGGTGAACTCCCAGGGGCTCGGGGTGCAGCAGAGCTGTGTCAGAGTCGGTTAGACCTGGTCCCCGCTCCCCAGGGACAAGTCGGGGAGGAGAAGATGAAGGGGGCACAGTGCATAGTAAACCGGTCCTGCAGGGGGTGGGGGTGGGGGGTGTCTCCAGGGCCTGTCCCACACGTCCCTCTGTCCCCTGCCCAGGCTCAGGGGAAGTATGTGGCCTGAAAGTATGTGGCCCCTCCTCCAGCTCTACCTGAAGTGTTTTACAAGCAGGTCCGCCTCCTGCCCCCGGGCTGGCTGCCCCTCAGCTGGGGACTCACGTGGTTGGCCGTCCAGGTCCTGCTCCCCTCCTCCTGGGAAGACCAGGGTCAGGAGCACTGGGCCTGGTGGGGACCCACGGGGCCTCCTCCACCTGTGCTTGCTCCCCCGAATTCTGCCTTTTCTCTCTGGCAGCACCATCCAGAAGGTTCCCCGACGTCTGCAGGCAGAATGAAGAGCGTTTTGTGCGCCCGCTTGGCTGGGCTGCACGGGACCCTTGGGGTGGTTTGTTGTCACACAGGGGGACAGATGCCCCCCAAGCCTTCCGCCTGGCGTGGGAGAGAGAGGGGAGGAAGGGGGGGGAAGAAGTATGTGCACGTGTTTCCACTTTAATGGAAAGGGAAAGGAAACCGAGGTCTGGTGTTCTGTTGAGAAGCAGGCTTCTTGGCCGGCCGCTCACCCCTCCAAGCACCTGGCTGGGTGTCTCCAGTCCCTTCAGCTT